GTATTTAACTTATGTTGACAACACAACGTAATTACATGAGAATCGACGATAACATTAATGTATAAGCAATGCAGGAGCTAAGGATTACAGTTAATATCATTACAACCTAAGCAAATAAATTTGTAAAAAAAAAGATTAAGCTGGAGGAAAATGATGATGGAATGGAAACGGCGATCTCCAACGCGTCGTCAGAAGCCAAATGACGGTGTTAGTGGCTACGTCCAAGCGAGTGGCGCTGGTCGTAGGGTCAAGGCTCGGGTCGCGGGGTCTAGTCTCCAACCAATGAGACGTACCCAATAGGATGTGAATAATGGCTAAAAGATACCGTGTCTAGTGGCGTGCCCGATGGCTAGAATGGGATGTGGATGTAGGACACGCACGCGGGCGTTGTGGGAAATGCAGTCTCTATCGACTTATAGAATGTGTTTATTAGGTAGATAGAGAATTCTATATCTGATAGAGAAATTCTTTATAGTCTTTACCTTATCCTTAGCTTTCCTTATGTTGCCTTTCTTTGTCAAAGCCACTAATTTATCTGCCCAGTGTACGTCCCCCATATTTCAAAAGCAGCGTATCATTGCGATTACTCACAAAAGTGCATTCATCATTCAGAAACTCGGACTCCTGTCGATTTCTTCTGCACTAACTTTCTTTGCTGCAATCTCCACGCTCCAAAATTACTCTTGCTCAAAAAATGAAACAGATGCGAATAGAGATAGGCGCCGGTTTGTCCTTAGTTGCAGAGCGCTTAGCTCTCTATCGTAGCAGCACCGCTTCGACATCGTCGGTTTTGAGTGAACTGAGGAATAAAACTTGATACTTGAATGATACTTGAATGGCCCGTTCTCACGGATTGTGCGAACCCCAGCGTAATCTCTATTTTTCGGAGATTTGCTGGCTAAGCCATTATGGTTCCCTGGAGTCCCGTCAGCCTGGCCGAAGTCTGCCTCAGGTCTTCACCACCACAGGCAGCCGCATCCCTTGTGGATCAGAGGGAGATTTGCCACCATGCGATTTTGATACCAAGACAATGGTGGATCCTGGTATTGGTTTACTCTTAGCTAGGCTTCCTGGTGGAAACGCCGGACTCCTTCTCAGCTTGGGAGACCCTGCCAGGGGATGAATCGCCTCTGTACAGCGAAGTCCGACACCCAGGAACACCTCTCAGCCACGATGAGGCGGTAAACCGTTGGGAACTGAAGAATAAAAACAGGAGGAAACATGGTAAAAGCCAAATAGGATGTCATACTTCTTGCTAACAGCTGTAATTAATTGCTATTGCACAAAACTTCGATGAAAGGAGTCCGACTACAATACCCCTGGATCATACGAATTCCAGCCGAATCACCTCATGTATCACTTTCTGCTTAAGAAATTTATGTGCTTTTCAGTAACCATCGAATACCTCGCTGGACAGAAAAGCATTTGCTAGGAAACTCTGATGATAGGGAAGGACAAAGGAAGATTTTGCTAGCATTTACACGAGTCAATCGAGAAGCAAAAAAGGGGCAGTAAAACAGGTACGTGGTGTATCTGGTAACGTTTAATTTCTTTTTTTTTTTTATAAAATAACCACTGACCACAGCACTGTTGCAGAGAACGGTATAGTGTATAACCACAACGGTGCCGAGATATAAGACTCCAGACAGCAGGTGTCTGCGGTGAGGAGCGAACGTGCTATTACCCTTTCCAGCAGCTAAGTGCTCACCACCGCACCATGCGGATCCTTCGTTTCGCCTGTCTCTCAGGTATAGTGTACATTTATTGGTCTGTAGCAGATTACAGTAAGATGCCCATGGAACGAAATCGGACACTATCAAATCCAAAAATGAAATTGCCACTTCACGTTGATTTCGAAGAGACTTCGTTTTACAAAGAACGGAATGAGAGAACTACATGCTTGCTCCCCTGCTACTTGTAAGGGCTTAGATCTGTTTTGTATTCACGCGCTGGTATTACGATATTTCCAGAAGCTCTTCCAAGCATTCCATCATAATCATCATGTGTGTAAGCTGGGATTCGGCTCAGAAACGAGCAAATACGTCTATGTGACGCGACCTTCTCCTAATTGTTGTATAGTGCTGCCAACAGAGGCTTTATACGAGTATGCAGACATACCTTTCGATCTTCAGGAACTGGCAGACTACTACTCAGTAGAAAGTATGCGTTATATGGTAACCAGACAATCATGAAAATGAACACCACAAGCGCCAACATGAAAGCGGCCTGAAATGACCTACATATTATTTACGATTAATCAGAAGCAAATTATGAAATAAATGCAGAAAAAGGCGGGAAGGAAGGAAGAATGGAAGAGAAAGGAAAGATGGAAGAACATGGTGAACGACAAACGTAAGAGGAAAAGTGATGAAAAAATGCAAGAAGAACGACAAAGTGTTGGCTGTTTGGTTTTCTGTCTAAAATATTCTTATATCCGCTAATGAGGTCCCCGAATGTGTTCCAGTCTTCATGATACTTCATGTTTTGGGATTCTAATTGCAAGATTACGCTGACAAGGTCCCTTACACTAATGCCACTCTTAAATAAAAACAAGCCTCTCCGACCTAGCCTGAAATAATGGAAAAGCATCATGCGAAAGTAGTCAGACGTTGGTTGACCACGAGAATAGTGAAGAATCGTCATGTGAAAGTATTCAGCCATAGATCACCTACCTAATCTATGTACCCGAATTGTCTTAAATGATGTCTTCATTCCAGTTAACTGATATGTCTGTGGTTTACCAGAACTAGTTTTTCTCATTAGTAGTATAACATAAGATTGTTATAAAAGTTCTATTCGGGTGATACTCCGATGGGTTGTACTTCTGCAGAGCCGGAAGCATTCGCCTTGGCTGTCCACAGCCATTCTTGTGATGTGAGTCCTTATGGTGGTATCGGACGAAGTTTGCTCACTTGATGGGGTCCATTTATGTGAGTCTATCAATAAAAAAGACACTTATTATACCGATGTCAAATACATGTAGGTTTACAAAGAACTAGTTGATCTCCTAAAAGGCCACTTCCAGCGTGCCGTTACTTTTATCCATTAATTCCATTGCATTGAAACGAACTATGATACATCCAAGTCTCTCCTTGAGAATTCGCCTACAGCTTTTTGATATTTTCTTTATCCTGTTGGATGAGAGTGGTATTCCTGAAATCCTAAGATATCCGTGCAGTTGGAGATTTCTTCAAGTAAAAGCTTGCGTGCTAAAAAGGGTCATTTGCCGTCTTGCGTGCGAGCACCTTCCGGAACGGTGACAATTCGTGGTGTTGGTTTACTCTTCGTTGAACATCCGGGTGGATATGTCAATGCCCTTCTCACTCTGTTAAGTGTTGCAGCACAAGGTGAACGGGAAATTTTTAAAAAAAAATGATTTACAACACAATTTAATCCCATCATCTTGAGAGACGGGATTATTAAGGGCTAGACGAGCTCTGATGAATGGTAGCGCTATCGTTTTACCCTAGCCATCTAACCAAATCATTGACAAAAAGTAAAGCATAATAAAAGACAACCTAAAAATAACCTGAAGAAACAATGAGGAAAAAAGTAAACGAACGAAATGAAGACGGTCTATTGAATTTTCATTTACACTGACGGGTGATTCAATTTTTTTGTGACAACCTTCAAATCGTCTTGAGAGTTAAACTTCAACCGTCCGACAATTTTTGGAGTAATTAGGAGTAATTAACTTCGTTTTTTAACAAACTGTCAATCGAATGCAGTCTGAATTTTCTGCATGTGTAAAAGAAGGAAATGAATAAATGAGTGAACGGAAAATTAGTAATGAAACCCGCAAAAGGAACTCTCTGCACATTATTGAGCGTCAGTTCTATGAAATAGTCCCGAGTATTTTCCCCTTATAGCCACTTCAGACATTTTCAGCCATCGACCTTGCCCTTTATAAGTGCACTCGGTTTGCTCTATGATATAGAATGCGTAGTGATGATGAAGAAAGAAAGGAAAGGGAAGGATGAGAAGAGGGAAAACATGACGACGATGATGCTAGTAGTAACAATTAGTAATAATAATAATAAAGGTTAGAGAGCCTTCAGTATTGATTAATCCATGAGGGATGCGCTGGTGTTGGCCTACCGGTGTATAACGTCGGTCCCAATTTGCCGACCCCGGAAGCTGGAAGGCATAGTGAGCACGCGGAGAGTTTATCGCAGTGGTTAGGGATGCCCAGGTATGCATAAGTAATCGCTGGTTCGACACTGCTCCCAAGGGTCAGCGAAGACCTCCATCTATCCGAGGTGGGCAAATTAGTACCAAAACTTTGTGGGAGAATAGCAGAACTGAGTGGATACATCGATAGGCCTCCGTAAGTCATTGTACAGCCCAGGTAGGCATTAGATCACCTCTAACAATGTTTAGTAAAATAGAATGCACGGCGCATCCCTCAAGAATTGATTAGCGCGGAATGCTTTATCCTTTTAATAATAACGCTAATAGTGATAATAACAATAATAATAATAATAATAAGTAATAATAATAGCGATGACAACAACAGTAATAACAAAAGCGGTAATAAAGGTCTCCGCACACCTTAACTAAAAACAAACGAAATTACGCCCACGAACGTAAAGCACTTATGTTACCAATCAATAACGATAGAAAAGCGCGAGAGCACTATTTAAAAAATCTTGAGAAAAGTTAAGGTAATAAGAAATACTTTGTAAATTTTGAGCACAATTGCAAATGCTAAGCTTTCACTTCTGCTTTATCATGACACCACTTCAAGAAAATTCAATTCAATCCCAAATACAAGCAAGTTCGGATCCCTCTATTTTGAATGAGTAATAAAGGTGGCTTCAGATTCTATTTGGTGGTCCCGTGAAGAAGGGTGTCACTTTCCCAAAAGATTTTATAGAGGCTAGCATGAAAGTCTTCACCACCCTCATTGTCGGATACATTGAATATTTAAATAATCAGTGAGAATGATTCGCTATGCGACTTTAACATAATCGCATACTTCATATTATATTCAATTTCGTCTAATTGCTACGAGAACAAAGAAAAACTCTAACCCTTTTTTTGGCTGCTATCGATTTCGCATGTCTTGAATCGCCGACGGCTTTGCTTCTTCGCAGGACCACACCGACACGGTAGTACGCACATGTGAGAATCATCAACGGAAGCAGGTACTGTACAGTGATCAAGCCACTGTTATATCTGTAACACATTTTCCTATAATTGGCCTACGCGTCAAAGCTTTCCAGTATTTATTATTATTATTATTATTATTATTATTATTATCTTATTCAGTTCGTTTAATTATTATGAAAGGCTTGTGTGAAAACCAAGAAGATCAATGTATAACCGTAAACAAAACGTTGAAAGCATTGTATAAGCAGCATAAGAAAGAACATTGTCGAAAACAACAAAAGAAGTAACAGATAATAAAATTTAGTACTGTCAGTAAGACTTGCAGTGATGCCAACGTCGACGTTTGTGAATTACCATCCGGATAGTTGTCAGTTAAGCAGAGAGTGTCGGCAAAGAGCGTCTCACCGTCAAAGAAGTAGTTGAGCTCAAGCTGAAATTCATCCCTTCTCTCTTCAACTCACTCATCAATGCCAAATAAAGCCACGAAGAAGAAAAAATGTTTATGTGTTGTTTTGTACTAAATAAAATCTGTACTCTCTGCTCTTATTCTGGTGATTATACGACTGTTCATAATCAACATTTACTTGAACGCCTGAAGAAGCCGTGCCTACGAAAAATTCGTGCTAGCGCATCACGATTTCCATTTGAGTGACAATCTATTAGTCAAGGAACGTTTCCGGATCGCTGTGCTAACGGTCTCCCGAGTTTGTAGGCTAAAACTCAATTATAGGCTATTCTGAATGAAAATTTGCCAAATTGCCGCTATAGTTTGTAATCAAGACAAGTATGATTCCTTGCATTCGTTTGCTGGTAGTTGTGTCCCTGTTGGAAATGTTGAAATTCTTCGCAGGCCGGTTGGCTTTGACGGGGAGGGAAACACACTAGATATCGCATTTCGATACCAGCAACATTCTCCATCTACTAAACTACTAGGAAAGTATTAAGAAAAACGCAAAAAAGACAGTATAAGAAAAACTCATAGAGAAAGAGTCAAATTGAGGAAAAAAAATGGAGCCCCTTAATCAAAAATGTCGAGGGATCATGGGATCACCGAAACAGATTTGTCAATGTTGCCGCTTAGTTGACACTGATTAAGGAAGACGAATTCGCGCAAGTCAAAGGCTGTTTGTGGACTTATTTCCTGTCAATGGTTGGCCGTTTGTACACGAGTTGCGCTATTCAGACGAAATTGCTTTATCGCGAAGTTCCTTCCCGAATCCTCTAATCTCAAAGACATCTAGTTTATGCGTCTAAAAGAGCGGATACTAAGTGAAATCCATAACAAGCGAAGGTATTCAGTTACTTTGACTCGAGTGGATTTTCACACATCGTACTTTTTATTGCTTGGTGACGCCAGGTGTATTTATATAGAGAGCTAGCATATTCCCAAAGTTCTTTCCAAATCAATTTATATTAAAGTAGACATTTGTTAATTTGCATAGATCTGAGGACACATTAGAATTATAAGACAACTTAACAGAAACCTTTGATGTGAGGAATGCTGGGATACCACATATAACGGCTAAGATCCAAATTAAACAGATCACAGCAACAGTGGCATGTTTCCCGGGACGGCTTCGCATCGGATGCACGATGGCCCAATACCTAGATAACTATTTGTATAAAAATTTTAAACCGTGTAGTTATCATTCAAGTAATCGGATTATAAAGGAGAGCATGATGAATGAACCCTCTAAGGTTAAAGAACACCTTAGGGATGCGCCATCCATTCAACTAAATGGGACGTCATAAAGGTGGTTGAATGCATATCTACCCATATATAATGACTAGTGATGGCTTATCAAAAAAAGTGCTGGACTACGGCCCACGCCAGAATGATGAAGGGCTTCATGAGCCCGGTGCCTGAGGTCGAACTAATGACCATATGTGTACTGCTCGGCACTTCCAGAAATACGCTTCACATACCCTAATCATATCATAAGCTCCAAAAAAAATTTATATCGTGAAGTTTTAATTCTCATTTTCCCCATTTCTTTAGAGCTTCGCCGATATGTAGCAAGGCTTTTGTCGAGTTTCAGAAGTCATGACGTCAAGAAGTATCAATTTTCCGGAGCCCTTGTAAAAAGCAATTGTATTCCTAATTTGTGTCAGTCAGAGGTTTTATTTCGGTACAACGCAATTGGCAGATGCTATAATAAAATTTCCTTTTCGCATCAATTCCTTCCCATAAGTACATCGGTATGCTTCCGTAAGCAAATGTTATAAGCCAAATATGCATTGAATCACCTCTACAATGCTTAATGGAGTCGAATGTTTTTTTCTCCATCTATCCTCTGTTCCTTTAGATACACGACGACAGCTATGTACTTTGTACGGTAGGAAGGTTGGAAGGTTCACATGAAGATTTTAATCCCTACCAAAGTGCCCACTTACGACTATGACATAATCGATTTAGTAGAAGCAACAAAAGTGCAGGAGAGGTAAGAAGATAGCCAATAGGATATAATAGAGTGGATGAGCCACAAACACCTTCAACTAACTCACCTGTCGATGCTCATAACGATCATCGTGAATACACTGGCACAAATGGGTGTGATACCCATCATGTTGTTAAAGCGACAGTAGAACGAGCCCAATCTGTAACATTTCAACTGATAAGAGTGATTTCATCTAGTTCTCGCGACCTGGCCGAAGCATCTCTTAGTTCATATGAGGACAGCTTTCAAATCCCAGTAGACCTCTCCTTGCTCGAAGCGTTAGAATCGGTGTCACTGCTCAAATTTCATATAGGTACAAATTCATATAGGTACAAAATGAATGCAAAGAGATAGATAAGTAAATATCCGGTTAGCAATAACACAGCCAATCATCCTCCACAGTTTCATGTCGTCGTCGCTTCACACTTTCTTATCGACTGTCGTTTCCTCTTTCATTTCAGGAGCTCCTATGCTGAACTTACATAGAATTCACTTTATATCCTGTGTAAACTTAAATATTGAATAATTACTATTGGAGATAAAACAGGGATTGGACTTTGGCAGCTTTGAAACGGTCACGTCATCTGTTTTTTGTTCACAAATACAGTCATATCATAGCAGAAGTCAGCTTTTGAAAGAGTAAAGAAGTCCTATAAAGGCAAAAGTTTGATCTAAGACGGAAAATCAACGCAGAGGAGTTTTTTTGTGCAATTGTGATACTTGCAATCAGTTATAATTGCCCTCTTTAGAGATAATTTTGGCTTGAATAGTTGTTGTCGCCTACATCTATTACTAGTGCGGATAAGTAAAGAATACGTTGTAAAGCTGATATGTAATGGATTAGCAAAAATCGTCACCAACATATCCTTCAACAAAAAATGACTTAAGGCATTATTATTAATTTCTCGTAGTCTCGCTGCATGTATCAATAGAACTAGCTGAGAGACAGGCAAAACTAAGGACACGGATGGTGTGGTGGTGAAGTGCGCTACTCCCTGGTAAGGACTATAGCGCGCGTTTGTTCCCCACCGCATACACCTGCGGTCCGGAGTTTTGCAAATATCTCAGCATTATATACGAGTTATATTTCGCAACATACCCTGCCATTAAAAAGAAAAAGGCAGTAAATAAAAGGGTTAACATCATGACTAGTTAATTAAATGGGTAATTAGATGGCCTAGATGCACATTTATTTTGACACAAAATCTTGCACTGCTTCTACTTATTTCGCACTCCCACACAAACATCGCACATAGTTGTGATTGGTTGGTGTTCGGTGTCCAATTTCTGCTTCGCGATCTGTCGTGCCTCCCGTCTTTATTTAAAAAGTAGCGAGCTCCAACACTTCCTCCACTCACTTCGTTCACTCGCAAACATCACCCATAGATGTGATAAGGTTGATGCTCGGTGTTCGGCTGCTGTCTTTCGACCTGTCTCCTCATTCATCCTTATCGACATGATGGATGCCGTTCAAGACTTATTTCCATAAGATTTTTAGATAAAAACCCACATGAAGGACTTCATTTCCATACCAAAGCAAAAACGCAGTGGTCCCTTGTGGATTGGAGAGGTGTCTGCCGTGATTCTTCCAGAACTTCAGAGATCCAGACGATTATTAGAAAGACGACGAAGGACAAATCCGTCAATGATTTTGCTTAAAAGTTCGAATTGCATTTGTATATGGCAGAAGTGACTAGGGCTTCTTCACCATAAAGTATTTGAATTACCATTCATAATATAAGTGTAGCCGAATCGAGTCCAGCACGAAATTTGCGAGTTATCGAAAATTTCTGCATCTCATAAAACATTAATTATGTTAGTTAATGGCCCAATCACCTTCATTTAGTTAATGAACGCCAGTGCCGAATATTTTATCGACTCAAAGCTGAGGAACATTAAGAAAAATTGTGCGAAATACGCACTGACGTTGCTGAGAATTCCTCGAAATTTCAACGAATGAGAAGGACGTCTGTTCTCACACCTTATTTTTATTTACTTTAGTAGAAAAATTCTGTAAAATAAACTGCTCCTTAACGTTTTTAGATTTCAGTTCCTTACATACTCACAAAAATCGGCATTGTCCTATTCAAATCTTCCCACATTCTACTTTGCACTCGTTAAAATAAAATAAAGAAATTTCAATTCATATTTCGATTACAATTCGACGACTGGAAGAAGCTTCAAGAGTTAGTGGAGCTTCATAAGCAAATTAAAATGCATCTAGACATATGAATCCGCGGCGTATAAGAAACCCTTGTAATCCGACGAAAGCAGAGCTGCAGTCGACCTCTACTGCTCAGTGTCAAGGCAAGACATAGGAACGATTCAAGTCCAGTATTAAACTAGTAGAATGCTGGAACGATGTGGAATTCGGAGTACTTGAAGTATAACGCCAGGTCAAGCGACGTAGTGTTACCATTTCGTGGAATGAGGAATGAGTGAGTTATAGCACCTAATGCTGAAAAGTTGGGAAACAACTTGGGTACTTGGACGGCCCGTCCTTAATGGTTGTCCGGGGCACAGCATATTCTCCATTTTTCGGAGTTTTGCTTGTTTAGCCACTGTGTTTCCTTGGAGCCCCGAGGTCAGCCTGGCCGAAATCTGCCCGGATCGTCACCATTACAGGTAGTCGCCACCCTTATGGATCAGAGTGAGAATTGCCGCCATTCGATTGGTTTGATACGACGGTGGTGGATCCTAGTATTGGTTTACTCCTAGCTGGACTTCCTGATAGAAACGCCGAACTCCTTCTCAGCTTAGGAGATCCTGCTGCGGATGAATCCATCCACTGTATATCGCAGCGCCACACCCAGGAACACCGCCCAACCACCATGAGGCGGTAAGCCGTTAGGAGTTGGGTAAGAACATCCGGCGGAATTCGGATTAATTGGACTGCAGCAGCAACAGCACACCACGAAACGGACCGTAAACATTCGGTGGAATTTGGAGTGTTGAAGTATAGCACGAAGTACGGTGACGTAATACTAGTATTCCATGTGATGAGACAGGGTAAAATTATAGCAGAACGTCACGGAATGTTATCACTTAGTACAGAATTGTTGATTTGCAGCAACAAACTCGGCAGCAGTGCCAAGTGTACCTGTAATGTGTCATTTCATCGAAAACTGAGAGAAGCAAGTTTTAAAGCGAAGAAGAACCAACGCCGATTTTCAGTCATCGTCAAGTTTTGCACATATGAATAAGAATATGTATTCTTTCTTTGATGAGCTTACACGAGGTTGATAATGATGTTTATTTTCGGCTAACTTTTCGACGTCTTCGTCTTCCTCAGAGCCGATGATCCGAGTCGATGGTCCTTGCTTGTTATTCGTCTCGACGTGGCAGCTTCGCCTTCGTGTCGAATCAGGTCTTCTTCAGTGAGCCATCTCCTCGAATGAGGCATCCTTACTCAGTGATGCCCTTTTATACACGATGCTGATGGTCGATATAATGATAATGTCCGGTGATAACAACTTGTTTTTCTTCCGGACATAATCATTGCGCACATCGTGCAGAAGTCGGTGTTGTTATCAGCTAGCACAAAGCGTAGTAAAAATTTGAATTTTTAAAAGTGTAGTGAATGAGAATAATTTCTCGTAATACAGCACCTTTTCACGAACGCCCACAGTGCACGCATAAATTGTTTTCATAAAAACTAATGCTAACCGTTGGCTTACGATCACTACACAGCTATTAGTAGAAGAGCTCAATGGAGGAAACTAATGAGCAGGACGAATTCAGTAACAAAAACACTATTATTTTAGAAAGGCATTGAATCCATGTGAAATGAACAATGAAGGATAAAGTCAAGCGTGATAAGTTTTTTAAAGAAGAGGAATTATTTTTACGTTCGGATGATCAGACATAAAGGTATCAGTGGAATTATGTACGTATTCGACGAATAAGGTAAACCCTGTTGTCCTTCTTTTTTAGTAGCAGCTAAGATTTGCAAGTTAAATATTTATCGAGGAAAAAGGACATCTGCAGATTTGAAGAACAGATTTGGAAATCGTTAGATCGAACCATAATTTTGAGAAAGAGCCACATGTAAGCATATTGTGTCTATTTCTATTCAAGCCATTTAAGCTTTATTTAAGTTATCTGCTTAACCCTGTTTTGGCTAACAGTTGAAATAGGACAATTCTGGATTCAAAACTTCGGTGATTATGAAGAATACACCAACCACAGATATTCATTCACTCTAATTCGAACATAGTTACTACTAAGAACCTACTTCCAAATGTAGTAAAAGTTGTAGGACCACGAAAATCCGGTGTTCAGTATCGAAATGGACGCATCCGCTACGGCTAGATTCAGAAGATAGCAATTAGTGACGGTGCGCATCCGACGATGTCGCAACACGATCCTTAATCACTAATGTCGTGAATTCTCATATGAATTCAGTAACGAGCAATTGTCCGATGTGGTGAAACCGAAATTCAATAGAGTGTCAGTTATACGGACTCTCATAGTTGTCATTCTCAGGACTTCCACATCATTAATCTGCTTAGGCGCGATTTCAGAGCTGTTTCCCAAGTAAATTATATAAAACCCCTCTTTAATCAATGCTCTAGCAAGGTTTAGAACAAATGGTGAATCGATTTTCGCAGGAAACTCATCATTTCTACCAATATGCTTACTGGTTACAAACAATGATCAGTTCATGTATGTGCTTCGTTGGCCGACAACTCAACCTGCGGTCGCTTTTCTATTATATCGGCAAAGTAGTTGTCTTTATGGAAACTCACCATATCACAGTAAAATTTCCAACTAATGCTAGTAAAATAGTGGTGCTAAATAGTAGGATGTAGATGATTTGAGTGTAGAGAGGATGTTGAAATGGAAACGGCTCGCAGTAGAGGAACACGTCGAATTCCGCAGCCACAATGATTTCCATATCAAGACATGAGCAATTCTGATAAGGTGACGGTTTGGAATCAGAACCAGAAGATGTCGATGGCAGTAGACGAAGAGTAGCAAGAATCGACGACGAGGTGGCGTCCACCGGACGGGGGCACGACATTTCCCGATACTGCTGCTGTAGGCCCCGCCCCACATTTGGCAGTGCCAGTATTTGCGGAGATCTAGTTAGCTTATAGATGGCACTACTGGTACAGACATTAATTAAGGATGATATCATTACATTTTATTCGTAATGACATCACATTCTACAGTCTATTCAATAGCAACTAGAACTACAGTAATAAGGACAATGAGCACACAGTGAGATTCGATATGATCCCTTCAAAGTACCTTTATTTTATCCAGTTGACTCAGATGACGTTACCAAACACTCACAATAGGAATGATGTCCTTGACGCTCAACGAACCCTTTGAAAAGAATATTGTTCCCAAATTGTTGTGGTTCTGTGCAGAACTTTTAATTTGCCTATAACTTACTACCATTCAATGTTTTTGATTCCAGAGAAATAGTGGCCATACCTACTTACTTAGTGACCATAGGATAGTGACCATGGAATTTATATAACCTGTGTCACCTACCCTCTATCTGATCGCGGCTAGTTATCGCGAAGAAACTCTATACTACTCTTCGTCGTTCCCATAAAGGAGTAGTACTCACCTAAAGACGCCGAGGACTTCATATTTTTCTACAAGAATCCTCGTAAAGATGGTCGACCAACTGTTCTGCCATTGAGAACCTGTAGGAGACCAGAGATAATGGCTGTTCTCTACTCGTTATTGTTAAGACACATCACAGGTTCGGCGGAGAGAATTGTCGACAACTTCGCATATATGTTAGCACTCCTGACAATTGGTCGTCGACAAAACACAGCATATCTAGAAGACCCGAGAAACCCATAAAAGCTTCTTCATGTTACTTACCCGAAGTGCAAGTATCGCAGTGGAAAATTACCTGCGCAGATCGATGTTCATCGCTTTCTTTATAGATCCTTCAACTTTTTTCAGATGCTTTCCTCTCGTATGGCTTCCCATAACACGACGTTATTTAGGAATGAATCGAGTAAGGAGCTCTTAGGTAAATTAGATGGTGGTTTCTGAAGTCTTCTATTCTTTGCGAATCGACTAGGATTCGCGCCGAATTCTTCAGATGTTTGGGTATAATCTTATTAGGATTGGGTGCTGTCCTGTTTCTCACCAACGGTATGACATACTACATTTCAGAAAAGGATGCTGTTAGAGCAACACGACTATCCTTCTTGACATGATATGTAAGCTGGAAGGTGTGTAGTTGAAGAAATTTCAGTAGACATCGTAGCTAAGCTTCTCTTTTATCTTTTTCCACCGACTGAATATTCTACATGAGCGCCGGAGAGCGGTCATCGCCATCGTGAATGAGTCATTTCTATATCAACGATTTTCTTGCTGTTTCTAACCTCTTCAACTCCATTCATTGCTCATGTTCTTCCCCCATTACATTTTCCTTTAAAGCTTTTTAGGATGTTTTATAAGTTTGAGCACAGCTAATGTCTGCCTGTGTGAGCTCATTGGACAACACAAAAATGTTAAACAAATTTCCTAAATAATGTGGCGCTTTATAGCCCTCGAACAAAAATGTTACTTCGTATTCCACTATTGGTAACAGTCATTTTATTCTTCTCGGTTGCCCTCCACTCAAAGTTTTCCATTTCGTAAACCGCCATCGGCTATATTCTTACCCTTTATTAAGCATCGCAAACCTACTCACCCTCCATAACGATGTTTGCGCGCCCATCGTAATATGTTAAACTAAGCAAAGAAACCTAATGAAGTGAAGTGTGTCTGGAGGCACCTGTTAAGATTCTTATGGCGACGAGTTCACTGAGGAGTTCGTCTTGTCTCCAGCTTCCCAATATATTACTCGGGTACCAATAGTAGTACCGATCTCCACCAAACCTCTGCAACTTCAGCGGTATCGTTGTGATAGGAATCATCATCGAACACCTCCACTATGTTTGTAAGCTGCTACACACACTGGATCAAAGAAATGTTCAACGTCAGAATGAGCGATATGATGCCTTTGTGGTTTTTTCCCCGCTTCTCAGATTTCCCAATTCCTTGTAACTACTAGTTTAAAGCAATAAAACACTGCACATCACTAACACTTCAGACATTATTGTGTCAAACTATGAAGGAATCAGTAGTAATGGAACTCAGTCAGTAGTAAACGGAAATTTGAAAAACTTTATTTATTTTCCTTATGTTCAACAGCAATCGTAAGAATTCAAGGACCAATATCCCCCATCACCTTACCCTCCCCATCTGTGTTCACTGTTGTCTACATTGCTCTTTCCCCTTCTGTTTTCAAGTCAGATCCACAACTATTTGAGTCTACCGCTAAATATTTCACGATTCGGCCTTAAGACTTTATTGCTTCATCGTGGGAATGGATCAGACTATGATGTATTATGAATAAGGCATTCATACGGCACGGTCGCCATCCAGAAGGCGTCCGTTGTAAATAAAAATAGGCGTTAAGATATCGTTCTGAAACAAATGCAGTTGATGGTTAGCAAAGCTTGCTTTTGGTCAAGAAAGGGTTATGATTTCATGTGCTAATAGTATGGTGATGCACTAGCATATACTACAAACCAATTGAAAATATCCTGGAGTCCCCATTATTTTAGAACGACGACTATCTCGACATCTAAACATTTAAAGTAGTCGACTTCAAGGTCACAAGAGAATATGAAATTCCTATCGTGCTAGAACTGATTTCAATCTTTTTAACAGACTCAAGACACAATTTTTATAAACAGACTATAAAACTTTTTTAAGCCTGGGAAACATCGACCAAAAGAAACTGGACACTCTTCAATGTGACACGAATGCCGAGCCCCTTCATAAGACGGTTTAACTACCATCGGCAAGCTAATCCTTCAAGAGGCAGCCTAACTCAAACAATAAAAAGTTCGAAAACCTTCGTGGATGATCGATTTAATGCAGAAAGTGCTAGAATCTCCATAATGCAGTACATGTCATCTCGGGTCATATTTAAAAGATCTTCATTGTAAAATTAATTAATGAAAGAAGCCTATCTTTATTCGGAGCAATAATGTCAGTTTTTGCACTGTTTCGAAATTGAAACCTCTTCCGCTTGCCCTTAAACGATTGAGGTTCCATGTCCTTGTACGCTGAATGTCCTTTGGTTATTGATAATTTTAAAAGTGGAGATTCTACTGAAGAAGTCCGTTTTAATTTTATATCAGAACGACTATTGCTCCAAAAAATTAGTGCAGTCGACGTGTTGAAAATCAAGTACTTGGCGACAGTGTCATCAATTTTGCCGTAATCCCAAGGGAGCAACAGTAACATTGAAGTAGAATGTTCCGCTCCGATATTAAACCGAACCTTGGAGCAGCTATTTTAAGACTTCATGCTCTCAAACGCATAGCGTAGTGCATAAGAAATTCCTTGGAATGGCTATGTTAAGCCCGAATCTAGTTTAATTCGAATGCATGGCACTTAACTTCAAATCGTCAGCTGCGAATTGGGAGACATCCATTGTCGCAGTGAGTGACTCGTCGGTAGCATGGATTGATGAGATGTTGGCCCCAAATGTTGACGGGAACGAAGGAAATGAAGACTGAAATCATCAATGATAAAGAAAGCTCCTTGATCAACTCCCACACAACTCTCAGGCAATGTCAGGATGATGCGAAAACATTCTTTCTCCACCCGACGAATGACCTCGAACAGCTGCTCATAGCTAGCTGAGTCATACTAAGATTTATCTCGTCACATGGAAGTTCTCATTATAAGGTCACGTTATCTATAAAATACTTCTAGTGTAATGGATTCCACACTCTTAAACTCTATAACAACATCCGTGAAGTAGTAATTTTTTTACGAAGTCATACCAACTCGTACTATTTTGGTCGAATAACGTGAATTTAGTGAAAAAGGAGCAGCTTCTCCCTATTGGAAATTCTACTTTTTTTTCTGGAACTAACAACTGGAGCAGGGAAATTAAGTTTTGAATTTAGGATGACAATATTAGCAGGAGAAATGGAATTCAGTTGGAAAGCTATTTCATCATATCTCCTTCATCTACATCTTACTTGGATAGTTGGACGGTCCGTCTTTACGAGCTGTGCGGTCCCCAGCACATATGCCGTTCGTTCCTTTTTCTCGCAATCGTAGTTCATGGTGGTAGTCTTGTTCAGGCATGGTAGCGCTTGCGAGTCTCATACCGTGATCTGTAAAACAACTGCAGCTGCGTGTACAGCTGATTAACTTTGTTTACGAACACGTCCGCCCAACGTGCAGGTAGTCGTCCTAGGGGACGTTTGCATTCTCTTGGAGTCCACTCTACTGTCCTTTTGGTCCATTTGTCGCTTGTTCCTCTCATTAAGTAACCATCTATGTTTCGTTGTCGATGTATATTCTCCTGGATCTCGAAGATGTGACAGATTTCGAAGGTCAGAGCTTAGCATTCCGGTTACATATTGAGAGTGCCGGCTATATTTCAGAAGACATCGCTCAAGCGCTCTGTGAGTAGTTCGAAACATTCTTGACGTAGTTGAAGTATCAACTCACGTCTCCGCAGCATAACAGAGCGCCGGGAGGACCGTAGAATCAAAGAGATGAGCGCGGATTTTCGGGTCCTTCAGTTGGTCGGTGGTTTCTTTGAGAGGCCCGAATGATGCCCATGCTGCTCTCCTTCCTCTATCTAGTTCCTCTTTCATGTTGTTTTCCATGTTCATTGATTGCCCAATGTATACATACGAAGAGGACTCTGCAATGACAGAGTCATCTAATTCAATTTTTTCGCCTTCGCACCATGGGTTTTTCATGAACTGAGTTTTCTTTTGACGTATGCGAAGACCGATCTTTTTCCCCGCTTCGCTGAGCTTTTTGATCATTACCTCTGCTTCGCTAGTACTTCTTGAGAAGATAACAATATCGTCGGCAAAACGAAGGATTGATAGGAATTTTCCATCAATACGTATGGCTTTCTCATCCCAATCGAGTGACTTTATTATCGACTGCAGTGCAACACTGAACAGCTCTGGCGATATTGTGTCGCCCTGTCGAATGCCTTTTCATATGGGTATGGTAGGT